CATTTCAAGTTTTAAGTCAGCGCAGGCGCCCTACCTGGAGAATGAGTGAGTTTATTTCAAGTTCAAGTCATGAGCAGGCGCCCACATGGACAACGAGGGAATTCATTTCAAATGTTAAGTCAACATTAGGAACCCACCTGGAAAGCGAGGGAATTTATTTCAAGTTTTGAGTCAGCAGACGCCCACCTGGAGAATGAGGGAATCTATTTCAAGTTTTAAGTCATTGGCAGGCGCCCACCTGGAGAATGAGGGAATCTATTTCAAGTTTTAAGTCATTGGCAGGCGCCCACCTGGAGAATGAGGGAGTTTATTTCAAGTTCAAGACATGAGCAGGCGCCCACCTGGAAAATGAGGGAATTCATTTCAGTTCAAGTCATGAGCAGGCGCCCACCTGGAAAATGAGGGAATTCATTTCAGTTCAAGTCATGAGCAGGCGCCCATCTGAAAAATGAGGGAATTTATTTCGAGTTCAAGTCATTGGCAGGCGCCCACCTGGAAAATGAGGAAAATTATTTCAAGTTTTAAGTCAGCATCATGCGCCCACCTAGAGAATGGGGGAACTTATTTCAAGTGCAAGTAATTATCAGGCGCCCACCTGAAAAATAGGGGAATTTTATTTCAAATTTTAAGTCAGCATCAGGCGCCCACCTGAAAAATGAGGGAAATTATTTCAAGTTTTAAGTCAGCATCAGGCGCTCACCTGGAGAACGAGGGAATTTATTTTAATTTTTAAGTCAGCATCAGGCACCCACCTGAAAAACGAGGGAAGTCACTTCAGAATTAACTTCAACCTTTAAGACAGTAGTAGGAGCCCGCCTGAAGAATAGGGTCAATTCAAGTTAGAGGTAGCAGAAGCTCGCCTCAAAAATGCGAGTCGACAATTCGAGATGCACAACAGAACTGTAGAAGATTCAAAATCAAGTTTCTGAAGACCTATAGGGTCACGACCCCAAATTCCCTCCGTGGGAGGTCGTGATGGCACCGAGTCTCTAAGACTAGGTAAGCCTATTAATGCGGAATAATCATAAATATCTGAAATAAATAAACTACAATTCAAATAATTACAACTCCCAAAACCCGGTAGAAATCAGTCACAAGCTTTTAAAAATTTATTCTCAATGTTGCTATGTATCAAGGTCTAAAGAAAAATAAGAAAGCAACATAAAATGACAGAAGGGGACTCCGGAGTCTGCGGACGCTGGCAGATATACCTCGAAGTCTCCGTGTGCAGGTAACTCACTGACGTCTAGACTGGTAAGATGTACTTGGATCTGCACAAAAGGTTGTGCAGAAGCGTAGTATGAATACATCACAGCGGTACCCAATAAGTGCCAAGCCTAACCTCAGTAGAGTAGTGACGAGGTCAGGTCAGGCCCTACTGGAGAATAGATAATGACATGGAAAAAATGTTTAAACAATTTAATAAGATAAAATGACGATGGAAATGAATCAAATAGTATGTTACATTTAATGACACCAAATAATTGCAAATAATATCTCGTGGAATCAAAACAGAATTTCTTTCAACTTTATGAAAATCACAACAATTAATCGAAGGCAACTATGGCCATAAATCAATATCAACAAGGGCACTACCGAGGTACCGCCTCGTAGTCCCAAATCATAAATAAATTCACAATATCTCATTTTCTTATATCACCGCGGGAGCCTTCACAATTCATTTAAATAAAATATTTTTTTCGAAATAGCATCCCGCATTTTAGCCACCCTAATCACACCGCATGAATTCTAGTAGTCACCCCTACTAGCCACGCGTATCAAGCCACCCATATCTTACCGCATGCGTTTCAATACCCAGACCTTATACCACCGCATGCATATCAATATCACAATATATCACAATCTGCACCTCAAGTGCCCAATATTTTAATTTTTTCAAAAATAAATCATCAACAATATTTTTCAATAATAAAGAGCTCACGGCTCATACCAAAATAATTCAAAAATCTTACGAAATATTCAGGAATAAATAATTCAGAAAAATAATATTTCAAAATCTTTAATACGTTGCTTCAATATCAAATTTAGAAATGTCAAATACTTCATATTAATAATATTTAATTTAAAGAAAATTAACCTTCAAATAATGCACAATATAAAAGAAACCAAGTTTCAATTAAACAGGTAAAACAATTAGCAGGAAAAAGTCAAGCAAATTTAAGGTATACAAATCAAATCAATAATGGAGAATATATCAAGATTTAATAATTTAATTAATATGCAACAAAGATCTTCATTATTTGAACACATAATCCTTCACATTTAGTCCGTGTACACACTCGTCACCTCGTGTACACGACTTTCATCACATTACATTTAATACCAATCCTAGGGGAATTTCTCCCACACAAGGTTAGACAAGTCACTTACCTCGACTTGCTCCAATTTAATCAAGTAATATGCCTTTTCCTCGATTTTTCGATTCCGGTCGACTCGTATCTAGTCATAAATAATTTGATACAGTCAACAAAAATTATAGAATTAATTCTATAAGAAAATATTACATTTTCAATAAAAATCCGAAATTAACTCAAAAATGGCCCATGGGGCCCATGTCTCGGAATTCGACGAAAGTTACGAAATATGAACGCCCATTCAACCACGAGCCTAATCATACCAAAATGACTAAATTCCAATAACAGTTCGACCCTCAAATCCTCAAATCTATCCAAGAGGGTTTTCGAATTTTTTTCAACTTAAATCACCAATTAATTGTTAAAAACAGTGATAGATTCGGGTAATCTAACAAAGATTGAGTTAAGAACACTTACCCCAACGTTTTATCTGAAAATCTCTCAAAAATCGCCACAATCCGAGCTCCAAATCGTTAAAAATGAAAAATGGGACGAAGTCCCATTTTTGAACTTAAACATTCTGTCCAGTGGTTTCTTCTTCGCGAACGCGATCCTTGCCTCGCTCTCCTTCGCGAACGCGACGCCACTCACGTGTTCGCGATGCACACACAGACCATACCTTTGCGTTCGCGTCCTCCCCTTCGCGAACGCGAAGAACAAAACCTCACACTCAGAAAACACTCTTCGCGAACGCGTCCTACTCCTCGCTTTCGTGATGCTTCCACTGACCACACGTTCGCGAACGCGAAGAACAATCTTCTGCAACAAAAACCAGAAAAATCTGCTACTTCTCTAAGTCCAAAAATGACCCGTTGAGCATCCGAAACACACCCGAGGCCCTCGGGACCTCAACCAAATATACCAACAAGTTCTAAAACACCATATGAACTTAGTCGAATCTTCAGATCACATCCAACAACACTAAAAATATGAATCACACATAGATTCAAGCCTAATGAATATTGAAACTTTTAATTTCTACAAACAACACCGGAACCTAGCAAATCAAGTCCGATTGACCTCAAATTTTGCACGCAAGTCATAAATGACATAACGGAGCTATGAAAATTTTCAGAATCAGATTTCGATCCCAATATCAAAAAGTCAGCCCCCTCGGTCAAACTTTCTTAAAATTCAACTTTCGAAATTTCAAGCCTAATTCCACTACGGACTTCCATATCTCGGGCTAGGAACCTCAGAATTTAATTCCGGGCATACGCCTAAGTCCCAATTCACGATACGGACCTACCGGAATTATCAAAATACTGATCCGAGTTCGTTTGCTCAAAATATTGACCAAAGTCAACTCAGTTGAGTTTTAAAGCTCTAATTCATATTTTAATCCATTTTCACATAAAAACTTTCTGAAAAATTTTACGAACTGCGCACGCAAGTCGAGTAATGATAAATAGTATTTTTATTTTCGAGGTCTTAGAACACAAAATTAATCATTAAAAAAAGATGACATTTTGGGTCATCACATATAGATAGGAATCTTGTAACTCATAGCTGATAGACTTGCTTAGTTTTTTTTCATTTTGATTTTGGTATAATAATGAGGTCAGCAAGCAGTAACAACAGCAACAACAGTGAAATCACAGCTTCTCGGTAGTCCCAGCTACTAAAACTTTCAGAACTACACTGACTTGATTCCTTTATAGCCAAGAATATGTAGACAACCTCCGAAGCAAGGTTCAGTCAGACTTTTTAATAACGCTTCCCATGGAGTATCCAAAAGGACAAAAAATTGCTCGTATTTGCTCACTTTATCTTTGCCCAAAAACTCTTCGTGTTTCGGAGCAAAGAGGGGCAGTTGTGAGCACCTGATTTTTGTCTTCCTAAAATTACTCCTACAAAGTTCAAAAGTAGATCTTTCTAAATTATTTTCGTTTTTATTGAATTTTAGGATTTTTTGGTTAATTTTGTCTGCATTTAGTTACTTATTTAATATTTAAAATTATAAAAAATACCATAAATATATAAAATATTCATTGCATAGCATCTTAGATTTAATTGCATATTATTATTTAATTACATGAGTTAATTGCATTATTAAACGAAAAATCACAAAAAATATGGGTCATTTTTACATTTTAGCTCTTAATTGCAAATTAGTAATTTTGCTTTCATTAGTTTAAATTAATTAATTATTTAAATAGTAAAATAGATAACTAAGTTTATTTCTACAAATTAGATTTAAATTAGGATTTAATTTAGTTTTTAATTAATTTGATTAGAACTTTAAATTAAAGGAAAAGAAAGAGAAAAACAAAGAAAGAAAAGGGGTTGTATTTGTATTGGACCATTCTCAAGGAAGCCCAACTGCTAAGATTCCCCTCAAACTCACGCGGCCCAGGTCCAACGCCTCCCCAATCCGGTCCAGATTCCTCACTAAACCAAAACGACGTCGTTTTCGTAACGTCGATCTTAGCCGTTGATTTCCTTTGATCGAACGACCCACAACTCCACTCTCCAATCCCCTATAT